ATATGCACTTCATCAGAAAGTATGGTTGATATGGGAAATTCAGTAGAAAAGTTCAGTTGTATTTTTGAGGGCATTCTTAACTGAAAGACCGATTCTCAAATTTTCAGCAATCCTGAATGTGCTACCACTTAATTTTAAATTTGTGGCAGTGTGCAGCTACTTGGAGCACAAACTGGTGAGTAATTTTTGGTGTGTCTGCATAACATCTTTGCTTCCTTCAGGACTTAACTTGTTGAATCTCATCACTTTCAGATTGAAGCACAGTCTAGGTGTGCAATACCTGAAAAGTATTTTCATGAATGGTAGCCTCTGACAGTAGTTGCTGCAAGTTGACTCAGTATGCCAACTACATCATAAAGCCACTTTTCATTTAAGCATTATTTACTGTTTCTTGAATTGAGGTGATTTTCCTTTACAAATTTCCTCTGTGGTGTTTGAATTAGAGGATAAGCTTCATACTTTGTTGCCTAATATTTTAAAATGCTCTAAAGACAAATGCATGAGGAAAACTCTGTTCATCTGTTTGCTTAATGACTCTATTTCAGTGAAGGCTACTACATATATGGTGGCAAAACATGATCTTGGAGAATGAAATAGGCCTTTTTGTCAGTCAGCGTGAAAATTTCTCAATAAATTTTGCAAGATGTTTGATAGGAAATGCAGAAAAGAAGGTTATGAAGGTAGATATGGAACTGTGACATGTTTACAGGTGATCAATGTAGAATGTGTTCCAGACCTCCTTCAGTAAATTATACACATAATTGAGGCACACATCAGAGATGCAAACTTAAAAAAACCCCAGTTTTTCAATTGCTCAAGGTATTTACAAAAGATTACTATTGGAAAGCAAGAAGGAAACATTGCTGTCATTTGCAGGTACTCAGGAGACTTCCTGTGCTATGACAACTTAGGATTTGTAAGCATGTAGACAGAAAGAACTTGATTTTGGCTCTCAGTGGATCTTACCTGGCCCTAATGTATTTTACCAAACCTTAGATTTCCTCATAGATTATATTCCTCTGTTTTTTAAGCTTCATCCTGTAATACATTTTGTTAGAACTCAACTGCTGGTAGTCTATATGCTGGTGTTCTTTGGTTGCTTTAAAAATTTGCCCCTGTTTCTTTTTCCCTAGGGTGCACTTTCCACGTAAACCCAAATATTTGTGTCTTGCAAATGCTTGTTCTCTTAGGCATGAAAGATCACTTATCTTCTTTGTATTCTTGGTGGCTACTAAAGCTCTTGTGGAGATGATATTTTCAGAAAATTTGTCAGCAAGGTCATTTTCAGATTTGCACACCAATGTTAAGCTTTATTCATGTAGATTTCGCAGTCCATAAAGTGTTCAAATGGCTGTCCCAGAACAAAGGCAATGCCTTTAATATTGAGGCCTTTGATCTCTTTTGCGTACTAATTATCAGTTTGGGCTTTCATTATGGTGCTTCTTTAATTCCTTTTTTTTTTTCTTTCATTTTAGTTCTTTTCCTTAGTATTTCATATTAATTTTTAGAAATTAAAAATTACGTGACTGTCTTTAAGTATTACATTATTGTCATGCTTTTGCTCTTACATTATACCTCAATATGATATTGTAAAATCACCAGCCGCAACCTCTCTCCATTACATCATTGTTACCCTGTTATACACAATACATTTTTCTTGAAGGTAAATGCTTCTTGGAGGTACAGGACATTTATACATGAAGAGTGGCCACTATCTCAGAACAAGGTGAATTTGAGTGTTGGCTAGGGAGGGGACAGCACAGAAAAAGGACAAGTCTTTCATGGAAATCTTGTGCAAAGCAGAGAAGGTCTTACTGGTGAAGACTGAAAGAAATCATTCCTATGAATAGACAAATACTTGAGTCTAGTGACCACAGATGTTTGGGAATAGTCAGAAAATGTAGATATTTTAAAGACATGTTCATCTGATAACAGCACTTCAGTCCCTGCACCTGGAAGCATTCTAAAGAATAAGAAAGAGAACCACCAGATATGATTGTCATATGTTTTATTTTCAACAAAGGTCTGGTGTCTCAGACTTTGACTATACACAGTTCAAGAAAAGCTCTGAGGAGAAGAGATGGAGAGTTGGGATTCCAAGTGCGCAATAGGAAGACAGGGAGTGGAGGAGCTTCCTCTTTGTCTTTAAAGTGAGACACAAATTTGTGTGGGAGCAGCTCTGTCCTTATTTCAGACTCACCTTGTGCTGCTGTGATATCCTTCCTGCTCAGAGCCCTGGCCCTATGTTCGCGTGGCACTTGCATGTGGCTACTGACACTTCCCAAGCAAGGCTGCAGGACTCCCCTGAAGCCCTCTTTTCCTCACAGCTGGATCACAGTCTTCGCCTTTTTTCTGGCAGTTGAACTCCCTCAGGGAAGGGTCATCTTTAACAGCATTTTGTCATTGTTTCAATGTGTAGCTGCAAACCTGACACCTATCATGTTGCCGGCTTGCTGGTCTCATTAAACACATTCCAAGATTGATTTCCTTTACCATTTCTGTCATGAGTGTTTCTTTACTTCTGTAGGTGTCAGTTAGAACAGATCAATTCCACTGTATGCACAGGGTAAAATAACTAGGGAATAGAAGCCCTTCTTCCATCTGTATAAGCAGTTTGGTCACGCATATTGACCTTTTCCCCTTAATGTGATATTAGGACTTCAAGAGCTTAAGTAGTGTTTTGTCAACATAATTAAGGCAGTTTCAGTTTCTTTCTGCACGTTTGCTGCTTGTTACCTGTTCAAGGTGTAGGTCCCTTGTCAACCAGCAGTCTGTCTGTGCCTCCTGGGAGTCTGCTTCTCCAGTCTGCTCTCAGGGGCTTTATTCTAAAGGGAAGGGCTGGGAATGTTGTGGAAATCGTTTTAGTTCAAGAAATTTAGCTTTATAGGTCAAAAGCCTTCTTAATTCTGAGTAAACTGTAGGTTTGCATTTTCGGAGGCATACTAACTATTCCATTTGTATCGCAGTGTGACAGTTCGCTGTGAATTTCAAGGAATTTTTTTCAGCTACGTAACTTGAATGAATGGTCATGAATCTGAAGTTCTCCTTTTCAGTCCTTCAGGACATAACCAAAGAAACAAAGAGAAAACCAAAATGTATCCTGTTCTTTTCAAATGCATAGTTTTTTTCTTGCATCTTCGCTTTGTTTGTCATGTGCTGATTTTCTTGATTCTGGTTCTGTATTTAAGATATTAATTTGTGATTATCCAAGGTCCTTTTAATGAGTTAATTCCAAACAGTAACAATCTACTCACACAATTGTTTGTCTTTTGGGATCCAAACCTGAATTTGGAGACAGGTGTGTTCCACCTGTATCTGTTACATATCATACATTTGATGAAACTGGGGCTTTGTAACTGACTGATAAAGAATGTGAGTGAAGTGTAACAAAAATATCTACAATTTTTACACCTCAGCAATTTCCTCCAGAGTAGAACTGTCATTATAATTGTTTCTCTACACTTTTTTTTCCCATTAAAAAAGGACAGTTACTAACTGCTTATGCCTAAGAAAATTAACAATGATATGAAAAAGACATTAGTTTTTGTTTTACAAACCTTACCTCATGCAGCCAGATGAGAACACTAAGAGTGTGTAGGTAATTGGCTTTCCTGCACCCTGTGTTTTTAATTGCCTGGATATGCAGTCAGCTCAAGGTACATTTCTTGTGCTCTAATGAATTTTAACATAAAGGTTTATTTCTAGATAGATCCACACTGGGAGAGTTTTTCAGCTGTCTTATAAAAATAATTTAAAGTAACACATTGATACCAAAACCTTGCCACCCAAGAAATTAAACATAGAATTTATTATGCAATTGTGTGTGTATTTTACCTAATGACATCAAGGTGGCATTTGAAAAATGCTGCATTCCCCAGTTTCTTTATATCATGGCTGTAGGTTGACATTGATTCAGGAATTGTTATAATTTAGATAAAGTTTGAGATATGCCATTTCAGGTGAAAAAGCTTATTTAATCCTTATATAATTTTTAATTCATTCTTTGCATTTATTTGTGACTTGAAAAAGCAAGTAAATAAAGCTCTTCTTTCCTGACAAAGTTTTTTGGATAAAAGACATCTATGTGAATGCAATATGAGGAGGGCATGTAATTTCTCAGCTGAAAAAGCCCCATCTAGTTGTACTGTACAAATGACTGCAGCACAATGCATAGAGTATACATGAACATTTCATTAGTGTTGCTGCCAGAGTAAATAGGCAGCCGTTTTGAAATGCCTCTGCTATCCATATTTATAGAAGGTAATCAAACAAATGCTTGTGTTGGATGTTGCTTGGGTTTGTACCTGCCTCTGATGTAGCTGTGACTTTGACTATGTCATTTAAACTGCATGCAGCTCTTTTCCCACTTGTGAAGAGACATGATAATGGTTTTCTTCAGATGGAAGTTACAAAGTCTGTAGATGGCTCAAGCTCTTCAGGAGGAAGGATTTCTGTACTAGAGTCATGAAAGAGTGCAAGCATCTGCTGTGACACTGCTGTGAGCTCTCTTAATTGTACTGTCCCACACTAATCTGCTAAGTGAACTTGTCACTAAGAGCCAAATAACTTAAACTTCACTAAATAAAAAATAGTAATTGTATTTACCCATCTTTGTCAAAAATTTTTGTCCCTGCATATGCAATGAGCTCAAGGACAGCTATTTTTGTGATTGAAGATTTTGCTAGTTTCCTCTCTCCCCACTCCTTGTGTGTATGAATAATCATAATCAGAATTCCAGTGTGCACATATGGATGCATTTTGATTCATTTAATGCTCTTTAATTTCAGTCAAGTTTCCCTGCAGCAAAGGATCGCAAGTCTGAGTCTATTCCAAATACCTGTTCAAGACTGTAGGAGGTCATGGTGGTTTACATTCAAAGCAGAAGGTCTGATTTTAGTCAACTGTAATGGTAGCCAACTGCCTCTGGCAACTGTGCATCATTTCTGAATTTCTGTAAATATGTATTTGTCTGTGATACTACTGCATATGCTGTATTTCAGGAAAAGCAGAGATTTCTGACAGATGTCCTACATGAAGTGATGCTGCTGGATGGGTTGGCCAGTTCACATCCAGTATCCCAGGAAGTGCAGCAAGCCTCAGACATCGACAGGGTGTTTGACTGGATTGCCTATAAAAAGGTGAGACTAACTAAGCTTATCTATATGATACAGATAAGTCAGGAGCTATAAGAAGATCATGTTCCACCTGTAAAAGAAATACCATTGTTAAACTATTTATGGGAAACTAATCTGTGTGGAATGCATTTGGAATGTTCTAAAGTGATTATAGCCAATTACATTCAACATATCAAGTGTTAGTAAATGCTATAAATAAACTTGGGAGGCTGTCAAAATTCACTAACAAGATTTAGGGCTTTTTATTACTATGTATTTTTTTTGACAGGGTCTGAATTGTGTTAGATGCTTTAAAAAGCAAAAGGATATGTAGTTTTTGTCCTATTGAAACTCTCTAGAAAATTTACCAAGGGCTAAATCTAAATGTAAAGTTTTTTCTATGCATAAGAGTTTTACTGTCAGCTAGTGAAAACTCTGAAGTCATTGCTGAACACTGGGAGTGGAGAAACTGCCTTCTGGTCTGGTGAAAGAACAGATATTAAATTCAATCAATTTTGAATTGCATTTCAATGATTTGGAAGTCTTCTGGCCAGTTTCTGGATTCAGCAGCTTCTGTGCAGGAGTGAGAGGGTTTTCCCTCCTCCATAACATGACTGGGCTTGCTGTTAGCACATGGCCTGAAAGCTGGTGTTTCCCACCATACCATATTGCTTATTCTCTGCTACAGGCTATGACATATAAAATTGTGTATCATGGCCATATGTGTTTGCTGTGTGACACAGTGGCTGCTGCCTGCAGCCTTACTGTACAGGAGCTCTCTGATGATGATTCAGTTGCAAGAGTCTTTTGACTGTGACCTTTGTGTCAAATTATCTTTTCTTCTGCATCATTTTCTGCCTAACATGAGACTGTAGCAAAGCAGCATAGAACTGACTTGGTGACTAAACCTGCTCATTCTGGGATGAAAAAGAGGTGTTATCCTCTCTTGTAGTCATAAACTATTCCTAGACTGCAATAACTTCACCTTGGTCTTCTTCCATGAAAGGATCATACGTCTGTAAGGATGGGCGAATCAGTGTGTGTGTATGTGTGGGTATATGTGACCATGTAATAAGTACCTATGATGGAATATAAAACCACAAATTACTTATGACAAGATATTAAAGTGCTGCAGTTGCTCAAGAGCCCAAGTAACATTTTCAAAAATCCCTTAGGTATGTTGGAAAATATTGCTCTAGGTCAATTAAGCTATAACAGGCAGCAGCTTTTAACATACTGAATATTCCCATTGTTTAAATCTTTCAATCATATGCTTTCTGGTGATAGCTAGACCTTGATAGGTTCAGAGGCTTATCTTACATGAGCATCTTCATATTTCAATCTAATTATTTTTGCTAATTTATACAGTAATAGCACTATCTTACAGTTAACTGTAGTACCTGACAATTTTATGAACACTGCAACCATCGAGTAATTTTCATTTACATTGAAATGACAAATAGGACAATAGGACACATCTGTATACTGACAGCTGTTTTATGCAGGCTAATAGGATCAGTCTGTTTTTTGTGGAGATTACAGTACAAAATTTGTCTTGTATCTACCTGTGTAAATGTTCCTTTTTAAGTAACAGTGGCCATGCCCAGTGGATACAGCAGCATCTCTCCACTTAGCTGCTCTGGTGGCCAGTTCCCCTTAGGTGACATTGGATGTGTTCATACCAGAGCATGATCCTGTAAATTTTGAGCCCAGTTACCAAATCTAGCAAACTACCTTAGGAAATGGCAGTAGCAGTATTTACTTACACACTTTCATAGGTGGGGAGATTAAAATAACCACTCTTTCACCTACGAGGTCTTTTTTTTTCCTGTCTGATAATTTGTCTGTCTGCTATTCTCTGTAGCTGTTTATCCTTTTGGTTTAAGATACAAGCTTAATTATATAATAGGAAGCATAAAAGTTTCATTAACAGCATACATGCCTATTGTTTAATAGGAAGAAACTTTCCTGACTTATTTTGTAGCTGTTCTTTTCAGTACCTTCCTTGAAAAACCTTACACTGTTCCTTCTGAGGATAAATTAGAGCAAATTTAACTTATCTTACATCGTTTCTTTCCTAGAAAATCTTGTATGCATGCATTCATTGCTTACACTGAAAATCAGCTTTGGAAATAAGTTTATTTATTAGATACCCAGAATAGAGCCTATTCCTCTAGCTCTCTAGTGTCTACTAGTGTAAATGCTGTGGTGAATAGTATGGCGGTAAAATCCAAACTGTAAAATTACACTGAAGGCTCTCACCTGGTCAGGTGTGGGCTCAAATATTTTCAGGTGCCACAAAGCCCTTGACACACAACGAGCCCTGCTGGAGGAAAATTATTAATGGTGTTTCTGGGATGACTTTTTGGTTGTCTTTGGTTGAGTGAATTTTTAAATTGCTGTAAATCATTAGGCTGTCAGAAATTTTTTTCTCTTGACTCTACTAAACTTTGGGTCAGGACCATCAGTGAGGACTTTTCTACTGTCTTAAATAAAATATTTTTAAAGAGTTTACCACTATGTGCAGCATCCATTCCCTGCATTTTAGACTTTTTTTCATTGTCTTTTAACTTTTTATTTAAATGTCCATCTTGTGCTCCCTGAGTGCTTGGATTGCCCATGTGATCTCTATTCTCTCTTCGCAATTTTCTACAAGATATTGAAATGATGAAAATTTCTCTGATATAAGTTTTGTTCAGTGAAATGACAGTCATAGAATATTCTTGTTATTTCATTGTCTTTACTGTCATCAATATGGTATAAATCAGACACCATTAAAGTACCCATCTCTGCTAGACACTTAGCTGTCATTCTAAAGTCATGCCTTTTTCTGCACACTTCAGAAATGACCATTGAAAATGTGCTATTTAGTTGCCTCACAGTTGAATATATTTTTCATTTCTACTTTCTCATCCTTGGTGATTGCATGTGTGAAGAAATCCAGGACATAAACCCCATGGCATTCAGGTAATCCCACAAGCAGAGTGAAGCAGACACTACAGCTTGGCAGCACACAATGTTTTTCCACTTAAATGGTTGAGGGTAAAGCTTGCCTCTTTGAAAAGCGTCATGCTAGTCATTCTTCAGATTGAAGCATGTCATCCTCCACTAGGGCCACAAATAAGTAGAGAAAAAATGAGAAGTCGTGATAGTTCATTAATAAACAGTACTGGTAGATGATTCAAGGCTCTCAAGTTGCATCAGAGAGTGCATATGTCTTCCCAGTGCAGCTGGAAGTGAGATAGTGTCCTCCCACGATGACGGGAAAAGTGGTTATATCCCAAGCGCAGTAGAAAATATAGCCTGTTGAACACAAGAGTAGAACTGAGAATTGTTAAATCAAAGCAAAAAGCGTGACAGCCTTTCCACACCAGAAATAACTGACAGCAGGAATCATTGCCCTGGAGAGAGCTGCAGCATCAGAGGAGGAGAGAGTGCAGCAAGAATAACACGAGGAGCAGCAGTCAGCATGGAAAAACCGACTCTAATAAAATGGAGAAACAAGGCAGCTGCATCTCAAAGGCAACAGCCAGAGCCAGAGCAACCTGAGGGAGTGCCATCTCAGACAGAACTAAAGGAGTCATAGCCCTAGATGAGCAGCTGCAGCCAGACAAGAGAAGGGATGAAAGGACATCTAGGGAGCCAGATATCTGAAGTCAGTTCAGTCAGCCTGCTGCACGCTTTGAAGTGTGCTGGTTGGAGATTCTGGCAGCAATCAGTGCAGGCAAGACCATTATGATGGAGTGTAGCTATAGAAGTACCCCCAAAAGAATATGCCTTGGGAAGTGACAAACAATAATCAAAACAAGGAAGAGGATGACTGGAATAGGGAAGAATATTCATTTTTTCCTTCCATGTAAGCTAAATTAACCTCAGCAGTGAGACCTGCTACTGACCCTGACTTTATAATGCAAACAATTAATTATTTCCTAAACCCTTGTATGTATAACTTCCTTTTCCTTTTTAACTCTATTCCACATCTTTAAAATTTCCTTTTTCTTCTTTCAGTGTCAGGTGATAGAAGGAAGATTTATTTCTGATAGTAATAAAGGGAAACCATGCTTCCTGCTTCCCCTCAAAAGCAACATTCTGCATTAGGAGATCAGTTCAACTAAAACTTTACACAAAGAAAAATGCACAGCTTCCCTGCATTCTGGCAAAGGAGAATTTAAGAAATTGAAAGCAGTGGCTCGCTCACCCTTTTGGGTGTAATTCTCTTTGAAAATTTACAATGTAGCATGTTCTGCAAGAATGTGGAAGAACAGGAGGGCTAATACAGTCACTGGAAAGGCTCTCTAAAAACTTCATTTTTTTACTTCTGTTCCTCAGACACTGGGAAGCACAATCACAATGAAATAACAAAATAAAACCAAACCAAAACAAAAACTCCAAACCACTACCCCATATTCTGTTCAGGAATAGTAGTTTATAAGAAAACCAGTTCATGAGTGCAATGAAGTTGTGATGATGTGCATCTCTGAATGTGACAAAAGAGTGGGAGTAGCTCATTAACAATGAAAGAAATGCTAGATAAATCCCTAAAAATTGTACAATAGGTTTTATTTTTTATTTAGTTGAATTGGTAGCATAAGGTGATATCAGACTAGTTGAAAGTCTACAATACAATAGAGATGGCTTTGGAACCCCTTCACTTGCCACGGTACAAAGGAAAAGCTTTTGGTTTTCCCTATTTTAGCTGTACTGTTGTCTGTGGATGCCATTAAGTCCAGAGGGTGCACATTTGTGTGATGCTGATTTTTCTTCCATGACTTGTGAGTGCAACAGGTCAGTGCCCAGATTGCAGAAGATGCTTTCAGGAGCCATTTGTTCGTAATGCATTGTAACAGAGGAGGTATCTTGTAATGAAAATAATGTCTTTCTGTTCAGATAAAAAGGCTGTAGGTTGTTACTGCTTCCTGTATGAAAGTCATTGAAATGCAGTCAGTGAAACAAACAGGTTCAAGTTCAGAGCAGCTCCGAGAGTGCTTGTCCTGAAGTATGGAGGCTGTCCCAGTTTAGCTGGT